GGGAACCCGCCCGGTGCCCCTGGTCTGCTGGAGACGGTCTCCAGCAGACCAGGGGCACCAGAGCAGCTTACGAACGGGGCTCTCTCGCCCCGGAGCTCGCAGGTAGCAATCCGCTACCTCGACCTCCAGGGCGAGAAAGCCCCGTTCGTAAGTGCGGATCCGACATAAGTCGGATCCGCGTAAGTCGGGGACTGGCTGTACTGCATTTAATGTAGAAAATTACATTATGAATAAGTTGTAGGATTTCTGTGTAAAATATATACCCATACCTAAGCAACATCCACAGTGACATACAATAGTTTGTAAGCCCTTTTTGTAGTAATAAAGGGCAAAACCAATAGAGTTTGAAAAGTAGCAACAACCAACTGTCCAGTTAACTGTATAGGGGAGAAAAGCAAATCCACCTATATTTAGGCTTAGGTATAAAATATTTGTCTAATGTTAGTGCCTTAGTCTTAATGTACATTAATTCCAATGTTCAGATTTCTAGAGTTGACCATAAAGTATAATAGTAGCCATAGTGATACAGCTGATAAGCAACAATTGGCTGTTTAACTATTTGGCGGTAGCTTCATGAAATAACTAAGAGTACTGAAGAGCCAGAGTGGGTGCAGCATTTCTCTGATTTTGCTCAGGTGAACAGCCCCAAGGCTAGAATGTAAATTAATGCAGGAGAACTTTGAGGAAGTTTATTAATGACTAACTCTAGTTGGGGCTAGAACTTCAATTTCATGATGCTAATGCAGTTGAGATTAGTAAATATGAGGGGAGAAAAATGTAAACATAGGTCATTCAAATGTTAACACCTTGTACAATTACCTGTTTGATTTTACTTCTACCTCACTTATTTTCTATTCATTTAATTGCTTTATAGATTACACATCTCATTTCAATTGGCTTCATCACTAAACAGTGAATATTGTTGGAGGTTGCTAGAACATATTATATAAAATCCCGCTCTCATCTACTTTATTAAGATGAATGTACTCAGCTCCTACGATGGAGACAATAAATGAACACATCTTTGATTTATGTACAAGCATATGGAGGGATTCCTTGTGTCTAGTGCTGGTTTCCCCGAGAAAAGCCTGCTTTGCATCATTCCAGACCTCCAGAAACTAATCACTGTATGGCTTCTTTGACTGTTTTCTTTCTGCTCCGGTCTCCTTCATACTGTATAGGGGTTCCACAAGCTTGTTATGAACAAGCATTAAACCTGGTACGTGGGGAAAAGGAAAGGCTAGGTATGGGTAGGAAGTGCAGTGAATGAACAACTTTGCTTTTAAATTAAGGTATGGGCACTAATTCTTAACTGACCCCTTTACGCACAACCCTCTTAGTATTTTTCACCCCATTGCTGTAAACCTGATATTAAAAGCAATATCAGTATACATTTAAAACCTCATTTACTTTTCATTGTGTACAGAAAGAGGGACATACTTCACTCTCCTTGGCCAATTAAACTAGCTTCACTCATTTTGTGTATGGCTTGTTATCAATAGCACTTTATTAACTCAAAAATAGAAAACACAGGATTCATAATGGTAGTGGAAAATTTAAATAAAGATTTCCATTTAAGTGTTGTCCTGAATACATTTCTAATTAGGAGGTTTTTTTTAAATTAGGGTTAGTACCACAGAGTTACCTGACAGCCCTTCCTCCAAACACACAATGTGTCGGACAGGGAAGATTTTCTAAATTAAATGGTGACACTGAAAAGAGAGAAGCTAATTAGAAAAGTGGCCTGATCTGGCCAGTTTCTTACCTTTAAAGTATTTCACTGTTTTAACTTTGAGTTCCAGAGTGGCATCTTCATCACATACAAAGACAGTGCTAGGATGCTGCTGAAAGGCAGATACCGTCCACATGTGGTTCACTCCTTCCTCTATAGCTTTGTACAAAGCAAATGCTTTATGGGCTCCTGTGATTAGAATCATAACCTGAATTGGGGGAGAGGGGAATACAGGAATCAGGTTGTTAGGTTCTGTGATGCACATTTAAAGGGAGCATACCCAAGTGTGATTTGAAGCCAATACATGAGCAAGTCATCTAAAGAAGAAAACTATTTTAGTCCTCTCCAGCAATGTTTCACTTCATTGACTCAGTATTGTTCTCTTTGGCTGTATCATTTTAAGTAATAAAATTACGGTTTGTCTGGCCATTTTAAAGTTTATGCACCTGTTACTTTGAGCTCTCCCTTTTATGTTTATGCAAGAGTAGACTAGAGCATGTTAGACAGCTAGAGGAGCTGATTAACAGTTATGAACTACAGGTGTAAAATAAATTCAACCACACACCACCTTGTGATTCTCAACTTGTTGGTATGCCTCTGAGTAAGTCCGTGGTTGATCCCTGCCCCTTCTGCAGCGTGAGGGAGAACCTGGTGCACACCTATCTTGAACGTGCTAGGTTGCAACCCCATTTCTGACTCCTCCAGAACCTCCTGCTGAGGTTGTGGCTGCTCTTTTCCCCATACCTTTTCATTTATGCACACACGTACCATGTCCCCACAAAGTCACGAGACCTCCTCCTGGTGCTGGCAAAAGCTGCCATATAGAACACCAGGAGGGGGATGCTGGATGAGGGGGTGCTCTGCAATTGTGGAGCCTATTTCCGCTCCTCTCTAGTCTCATGCATCAGAGCAGAGTTTCTTTGGGCAGCGTCCACTGGCTCCCGAGGATCTCTGCTTGGTGTCCGCTTCCAATTCCCATTTTAAACCGATGACCTCACCCCGATCCTGATTTTCATCATTGGTCCTATGAAATCAGTTGAACTCCAGATCCAGTGGGTCTCTCCCACAAGGCTGGGGGAGAGTCCTTTAGAAGTGGGCGGGTGTTCCATAATTCAAATAGTGACTTGTGAAATTGACCCATACAAAACTTCCTTATCCAGCTTCCCAAGCACACTACAACTGTATTGCATAGTTACCTGAAAACTGTTAAAGCAGCATAATGGAAACCAGATGAATAAGCTCATTCTGATGTAATGAACACAGCTGTTTGGTAAGACATCCTTTCTTTTCCTATCCCTGCATATATGATTTTACTTTTAGTAGCATCATCTCTCAGCTATCATTCACATTTATATGCCCCTCCATTTGTGTGTCTAATTTGATCATAGCTAAAGTAGCAAAGAAACCCCAGGGGAAAAACTAAGGTACTTTTGCAGGATACAAGGTAATTAGGTTGTGTAATTGATCAACTATGATCAACATTTTGGCAGCCCTGTAATGCCTAGGGCTGTGCTGCAGAAAATGCCACTATTTGAAAACTAGACAACTTTTTGATGCTCTGTGAAACATTATATTAAGTCATTGGATTTTTCTTCTAACCTCTCTAGCATCCATGACTGTGCCTACTCCAACTGTCAGAGCCATTGTGGGAACTTTGGAGAGGTCGCCATCAAAGAATCTAGCATTAGCCAATATGGTGTCCATAGCCAATGTCTTCACTCTAGTTCTGGACACCAGACTTGAGCCGGGCTCGTTGAAGGCAATATGACCATCTGGGCCAATACCTGTGTTGGAGACAGTTTAAGAATGTCACTACCTTAACACTTACAAAAAGCAAAGCCAACATCACACTTACTATAAGGATGCTATAGGCTTCAAACAGCAGCTATGGCCATTACTTTCATACAAGAACTTGCAGCATTGTTAAAGCTCAAAGATCTTGCTTCCCTTCAAGTGAATGGCAAATTTCCCACTGAAGTCAACAAGATTAGAAACACTGTTTCTTAGCATTTTTTGGAATAATGAAAAATTAATTTGAATGTTAGCACCCAAAAGCAAATTGATCACATTAGAAGTCACCACTGTGTCAGAGGGTTTATAGCTGGTTACAGCAGTTACCTACTAGAACTTACTAATGTAAAGGTTGCAACACCTCTATTATCCTCCCCTCCCCATCTTCTCAAGAATTCACTTACTAGGCTGAAATATTCAAATCTAGATCTTAGCTGAAATGGTGATTTAAAACATAAATCAGTAAGTATCAACAATATTTCTTTAGCCATTTTACTTCTGAGAAAAAAAGTCAACATTCCTTCCCCAGTCTGTCCCCATATACCTAAAAAAATGCCTGAACTTTAATGAATGATCTTTACATGCTTAGTTTTAAAGAGGTCATCCACGGCCAAGTGGGTCAGAAACACTCTGCCAGTGTTCCTGGCATCTCCTATCCCTGCAGCCTGAGACTTTGGAGCAAGTTGCTGCTTCAAATTTTGAGACCCATACTTGATCAGGAGGCACATTACACT